GGTGATCAATTAGCAAAACTGAAAAAGGAACAATTAATTGTACAGGGCTTGCAAGGGCATGGAGGAAAGGACCTTCTCATGCATGACGGCCGGCAGTGTGCACGGAGATGACCTGTCCAGGTCACTGCTAAGGGTAATTGGCACGTGCTACTGAAATTTCAAATGCACAGATATTTTAATCCAGCAATTTACTGACCCAATAAAATTCTGAAATACTCATGATGTGCATTACAGTGCTGTTTAAATAGCAAAAAAAAAAAAAAAAAAAACCCAAAAAACAACAACAAAAGGCAGAAATGTCCACCTCTAAAAGAGAAGTTAGATAATTCTGTTGCTCCAAAAAGAAGTCCACAAAATATCAAAATGTTAAAAGTGCAAAAAAAAAAAGTGGAAAAATGTATATGTAATATTTCTGTATGCAAAAAAGGGAAATTCACGCAGCCAGTGAACAGGAGCTATCCCTGAAAGGTCACACAGTTCATGGACAAAATAAAAAGTCACTAAACATATGGCACGATGCTCACCTTCACTAACAGAGCGATGGAGATAAGAACTTCTATTTCTTTATAGTTTGAATTCGAACCACAAGCGATTAAGTTTATCAAAAAACTTCCTATTTTTAAAAGTCTGTATCAAGTCCCTCATAAAAAGTAAAATTAAAGCCAAAGTAGCAAATTATCACACCTTATTACAGGCAAATGTAAATTGTTTATATAAAGAAATAATTTCTTCTCACTTCAGTCATGGACTTTTTTTTTTTTTTTAACCTTTCCTGTGTGTGTATGTCTATCTGTACATCTGTTCCTGAGGTTGTGAATGTTTCTTCTTTATCCCATGATTATGGTTCAATTTGTTTTAAAATTTTTTTAATGTTTGCTTATTTTTGAGAGAGAGACAGACACAGAGTGTGAGCAGGGGAGGGTCAGAGAGAGGGAGACAGAATCCGAAGGAGGCTCCAGGCTCTGAGCTGTCAGCATAAAGCCCGATGCAGGGCTTGAACCTATAAACTGTGAGATTGTGACCTGAGCTAAAGTCAGCCGCTTAACCAACTGAGCCACCCAGACGCCCCTGGTTCAATTTTTTATACTGAAATCTTTAATCTGGTTGGAATCCATTATATATTACATTATATACAATACACATTATATATTTTTTCCCAAGAACCAACCAACTGTGCCAATACCACGTACTGAAGTTACATCCAGTTCCACCCATCCCCCATGGCCATCCCCTGACATCCTACACTAAGGCCATAACATGCTTCGCCTGGATTATTTCCACAGGCTCACGAGAGTGACTGTGTCACCTGCCTTTCAGTGGCTTTCCAACTGCTCTTAGGATGAAATCCAAACTTTTTAAGATGCTCACAATAAGGGTGGCCATGTTAATTTATCATCTAAAGAAGGAAACAACTGAATGGGAAAGGGGCTATTAATAGTCATGCCGGGACCAGAGGCACAAAAGAGACTGTTCCTGGGTAAACGGGGACATATATGGCCCCCCTACTCAAAGGATCCCTTGTCTAGCTCTGAACTCCTGCCTCCTTCTCTCTGCCACAGGCTACCGCTCAGCCATACTGAACTTATTTTATATCCTCAAACTTAACAAGTTACTTTCTTAATGGGATTTCATATGCTACTCACCTTATTTAAAACATTGATTTTCACATCCCACCCCTGACTCATCTCTCGCTCCTCTTCCTTTTTTTTGGTGACCTTGAACCCAAGCTCCAGGGCTCAGTTCCTATGTCACTTCCTCGGCAAAGTTCTCTTTAACTTCCTCCCCTCTTCCCAAATTTAGATTTACCTCCCCTCCTTTGTGTTCCACAGCATTTCTATGCGTCCTTTTACCCAACATTTCTCCTGTCAGCTGTGTTAATCTTTACATATCTTTTACAAGTTGTAGCTACAGGACTGGGCACAAAGTAGGCATGGGACATTTGAGAATGAATGAATGAATGAATGATTGATCTGACTAGCGACATTATAAATAATCAGAGAAAGTTTTTAAAACATTTCAAAAAAGAGCTGGCAAATCTTTGGGATGCATGTAGTATCCTTCTCCTAGTGGTGCTATATTTAGTTGTATATATCTACGTGTGTTGACAAAAATCATTATTTCTTTGGAGGTATACTTCAGGCCTCTTTTCACTACTGTGAACTCAACTTTTTAAATGGAACAGCCATCTTTAACTAGCAAATAATTATTTCCCTTAACCACTACAAAATTAAAAACAGTATTCAAAGTAACTGATATTTTACTGTACCTTGCTTCTGCTTTGAAAAAAAGAAAAGCAAATAGTTTACTAAATGACTTCTTAAAGTTATTACCAATAAAAAGTGAAATTCGAACTGATGGTAGTTAATATAAAAGATCTCAAAGAAATCAATGTTAAATGTTAGGTCAAAACGGAAAGGAAGATTTTTTTCCCCCCAAGACTGGCTAACAAGAAATTGCCAATCGTGACGTCATGTGTCTGCAACCTTACCCATTTCCCACACATCACTTCCTAAAAATACATCTTTCAATCTGACTTCCCACCCATTCTTTTATCACATGGCTATATAATTACAAAAAGCTTAAAAAGTATTCATCTAAAATATTTTCACTATAATACAGATTCAATATCCAATTATAAGGCTATAGTCAACAGTGCTGAATACCATCTAAAATCATACCTCCTTCTTGAGGCAAAGACCAGTTTCCATCCAGTGTAATCCCTTACTAATTAGCTATTCCATCCCATTCTTTTTTTTTTTTTAATTTTTTTTAATGTTTTATTTATTTCTAGGGGAGAGAGAGAGAGAGACAGCGTGAGCAGGGGAGGGTCAGAGAGAGAGGGAGTCACAGACTGAAACAGGCTCCAGGCTCTGAGCTGGCAGTCAGCACAGAGCCCGACGTGGGGCTCGAACCCACGAATCGCGAGATCATGACCTAAGCGAAAGTCGGACGCTTAAACGACTAAGCCACCCAGGCGGTCCCCCATCCCAAACATTCTTGAATAGAATGTCAAAGTCATGTTTTTTGTCAGAAACATTCTTCTTCGATTTCTAATACTCAAACCAAGATAACACTCTCAAGTCAGAGTTTAACAAGCCTCCCATTGCTAACCATTCCCTGGTTCAATATTAAATTCTCATGTGTACTCCAAGACCAAATGAAGACATTTTCAGAAATTTCTCTACCTATGAATCTTTTACTCTGAGCTCTTAAACTTTCTACACACTTTGTATTTTTTAAAAATTTTTTTCTAATGTTTATTTATTTTTGAGAGAGACAGAACGTGAGCAGGGGAGGGGCAGAGAGAGAGGGAGACACAGAATCTGAAGCAGGCTCCAGGCTCTGAGCTGTCAGCACAGAGCCCGATGCGGAACTCAAACCCGCAAATTGCAAGATACTGACCTGAGCCAAAGTTGGATGCTTAACCAACTGAGCCACCCAGGTGCCCCTACACTTTGTCTTTAATTTCCTTATTCTTTTAGAACTAAAATTCAATCTTCTCTGTACCAGTACAAGCTAATGACTCCAAATTACTAATCAGAGTCCATTTATTTTTGACAGCAATATACTTATTTTACTTACAGGGATTAAGAATTATAGCCTGTGCATGTTTTTGCTTCATCTTTTATTTAATACTATCTTTCTTTTTTGACTACCAGTTTAAGACCATTAAAGCACAGTCCCACAGATTTTTCAAGGAAGGCAAAAACCAATTTTGGTATCTATGCAGAAGTATTTAGGGGTGCCTGGGTGGTTCAGGTGGTTAAAGGTCAAACTTCAGCTCAGGTCATGATCTCACCATTCAGGATTTCTAGCCTCATGTCGGGCTCTGTGCTGACAGCTCAGAGCCTGGAGCCTGCTTCAGATTCTGTGTCTCTCTCTCTCTCGGCTCCTCCCCTGCTCACACTCTGTCTGTCTCTGTCTCAAAAACAAATAAACATTTAAAAAATTTTTAAACAAAAGAAAAAAGAAATATTCATTTGACAGCCCTATATATGCTTAACAGAAATCGTCATAAGATAACTGACCATTCTAATTACATAATCCATACGTAATTTTCACTCATGGAAAAATACTTTACATGTAATTGCAGCAGTATCAAGTCCAAAATATACACATTATAGGATTTAGTATATCAATGACCTTAGAATTAACTTTTGAAATGACTTCTGTTGACCAACCATCTTTGAAGGAAAGGTAACTGATATACCTGGAAGGAAAATGGCAAGGAAGGGGTGAAACATGTAAAGGAGACTAAGAGGTACAGTCTTCCAGTTATAAACTAGTAAGATGCAGGAATGTCATATACCACAGAGGGAATATGGTCAAACGTACTGTAGCGATTTTGTATAGTGACAGGTGATAACTAGACTAACTGCAGTGACCAGTGTATAATATATGTAAATATCAGATCATGATGTTGTACAGCTGAAACTAATACAATATTGTTATGTCAATTATTCTTCAATTAAAAAATGGTAGGGAGAACTGTCTATCAATATTTTACTAGTACTTTATACTGGAAAACTGCCTGCTCTGTAAGATAGGAGCATATATTAAACCATGAATCAGTAGAGGGAGGGGGGATGGGGAAGCTAGGGAGGGATTGGGGGAAGGAAAGAAGAAAGAGAAAATGATCCTATAGGAAAACAGCTATTGTTGTCAAATATATTATAATACCATTAAGTAGCTAAGTAAAATGAACTTGAACAAAACCACTCACAGGCTCTGTATCCTGTACTCTTACCTTCATTTAATAAGAAATTGACCTTGAAGTGACATTACATTCACCAACTTAAATCCTGAGCTTCCCAATTAAAGTATTTTGTAGTTGGTCACATTATAATCAAAAGCTCAACTCTGTCCTTAATGGAATTTAGGTTATTAAAATACTGGGCACCATTTGAAAATACATTTACTGAAAATTGATGCTCGAAACAAAATTCATCTGAAGTCACAGAAAGTGGCCCTTCTGGAAGATATTTATTACATGTCCTCACCTTCACATTGGGTTTTGACAGTAGTTTCAACAGCTCTCTGATCTCACTGTTTAATGGCTTGTTCTGAAGCTCTTCGGCCAGCTGCAAGGGAGATCACATGGACATAGAAAACATTTAGTAAGAGCAGTGTGTAGCTCCACGTGTGACAAATGAGAATCTACCTTGCCACTTTCCAATGATTAAGGAAAAGTCGGCATGAAAGAAAACAGACGATCAATCAATGCTCTTCTTTTTAGGCTGTTGGTAGCCAGATCCCAGCCCAGGACCTTGGCTGAGAGTATAACTAAAAAACATCCTATCAGCCAGATCACCTTCTGATTTATTGCAATGAGGGCAAATCCCAGCACTTCATCTTAAGGAATGGTCTTTTGCGTGCAAACAAAGGACCACTTGTAAAAAGGACTGGATCAGGCTTTGACAATTTTTTAAAAAAGAGAAAGAAAGAAAAAGAAAAAAATTAAAAAAAACCTTTCTGAATGAGGTGGTGAAACTCACAGGGTTTCCAAAAACCCACAGTAGCTTGCTGTTTAGAGGTGAAGTGAAAAAGAACTACAGTGTCTCTAAGAGCAAATGGGCTGAAACTTTTATTATGTTTACCTACACTGACTAACATGTTCCTCATTTAGAGATCTTCCTATCAACATTCTGTTCCACTTTAGGCTATGGTAAGGATCATATAGTTTTCCAAAGAAGAAAAGCAAGACCAAATAGGAAAAGAAAAGATTGCAGGGGTGCCAGGGGGGCTCAATTGGTTAAGTGTCTGACTTTTGATTTCAGCTCACGTCATGATCTCACAGTTTGTGAGTTCGAGCACTGCATCGGGCTCTGCATTGACAGAGCGAAGCCTGCTTGAGATTCTCTTGCTGTCTTCCCCTGCCCCTCCTTCTCTCTCTCTTAAATAAACATTAAGAAAAAGAAATTTAAAATAAGAAAAAAATTAAAATTATGAAATAGTATAAAACTCAAAATATGTACATACATTTTCATTTAAAAACTCTTCTTAAAACATTGCATGAAATTTCTTATTGTTTCTACCAAGCTAAAAGTAACTGTTCTTATCTCTGGAAAAGGACTTTTCTCTAAAAGAAGGGCATAATATAAATTATACACAAAAAATAAAATCTGACAAAATTGGTTACATTTCAAAAAGTGATTTTACTTTTTCAAGGTAAAAGTTTTGTCTAGTTAAAATAATTGTTATAAAAATAATTGTTAACGTATAAAAAGGCACAAAAGGCTCTTTGCATTCCTTAGTCACTTAATATATAACAGTATTCTTAAAAAATTTAAGTATGTTGCTGGGATGAATTAGAAAATGCTACATTTTACTGTATTTCTGTAACAGTCTCTAATTATTTTTAAAAAAGCAATATTGTTGTAATATGATTGGGCCTCCATCACAATGGATATCAACAAATATTTCCCCAAGCCCTCAACAGTCAATGTCTTTAAAGTGATTTTTAAGACTTTCTCAAGCGGCAACTATAGCTTAGAGCTGTAGAATTCTATCTACACCTTCACTTCAAAAACTTTGTTTCTATAGTGCACAGAGGAGTAAGCCATCCCATAAAACATGTACACTGAAACATCCCCATAATTTGTAATCTCTGGATAAAACCGGGAGGCTGGGGACTAACTAAGCAGCAAACATTTGAGGGATTTATTACATATGCTTTATTACCTAAATTAGAAGATAAACGATATATAAGAAAATCAACCTTGGAAGGTGGTCGGTTTTCTTAAATTATACTTACAGCCCTGATATTTCACTAAAGTGAACTACAGTTTGTTTTATCATAAAAAAGGAAAAAGTTTAAAAGGCAACAGATAAGTTACAGGATATCACTAGAACGAGCCCTCACATGAAACTGATTTCTCGTGCAGCCTTAGCGTCTTATAGTTTATCCAGGTGCGCTCTCAATTCATCCGAGTTTGAAAGTGAACAGTAAGAAACAGCAAGTTAGCTCCCTCCCCCAGATCGAAAATAAAATTATAGCCACAGGAAATTAACTACTCCATCAATGCCAACTGCTTCTAAAATTTATTTTTTGGTTATGAAGGTAATTTGGAAAGGTCTAATATCCATAAATCATTACTATGCTTTATAATCCATTTTAAAAACAATCCTGTCTTTTTATGTATTTCATATGCCTCACTCCTATACAAGAATCTGTCATTTTTTTAGCACTGTCAGCAATAGACCTATCTCATTTGTCTTTATTTCTCCAAAGCATTCCTCCTGCCTGTGACTTTTCTCAGAACACTAATAGCTGACAGCTTCCCTCTCCCCGGAGAGTTCGAGCCTAAAATTTCTGTTACGTAGTTACCAAGGCAGAACAAGACGGTATCTCCCTGCACAAGTCTTAGCGCAGGAGAGTGAATGAAAATCGGCATAATATCAGCATAAGCTCTGTGATGACAGGCCTTTTGGAAACATTCGCAGCTTCTTCTGGTTTTCGCTCATTGGCTCACATGCGTCTGTCTGCGCCGGGATGAGCTCCGGCCCGGCCAGGCCCAAGGGAGCCATGTCCCAGGGAGCTCAGAAAGGCACACTTACATCATCGGCCAGGACCGCTGCACCATGGAGGATGGGCACGGGGTTCTGCTTCTCATAGTAGTGGAGTTTCTCATGAATCTGGAAGAAAAACAAGTGAGTTTAAGTTTACCTGCTGGCAAACAGGAAGATACTGTGAGATTTTCATCACCGCAAGTAGAAACTGATCCGCTCAACTATTTAAACAAAAACTATGTGTTTTGATAAACCCAGAGATGACAAATATGTGAGCATCACTCATCTGGTCCAGTGTTTCCGACATGAAGTCAAACGGGGAAAAAACCGTTAACAAATAGGACCTGCATAAAAACTAAACCTTAGTTTTTCCCCCCAAATAATTGTTAGTTTTTAAAAATCTGTAATTCCTAAAACATATTGCTTCAAGATCTTAAGTATTGTTTGTAATTTACATTCCTGCTGCAAACAGAAATTTTGATTAAAGCAAGCTGATAAGCTGGCAGTTACGTCCCGCGGGGCTGGTACGTGGTAACACTGAGAGCTTGGGGCTGGCACTGGGCGGGTCAGGGGCCAGCGGTCTGGGAACACCTTCCTGAGCATGCTGTTCCTTCATCTTTTTTTTGCCCCCCAAATTGTCAATCTTTCCCCCCAGAGTCAAACTTCTAAGAAACAAAGGGAAAGAGACATGTCTTATAACTATTAAGCTTAAATTATTTTCTGTACTGTAAAACCAGTAAAATTATATTGTTAATAAATAATTTGGTCCTTCATTTCCCATCATTACCCAAGAAACACAAAGTCAAGAAGATAGGTTAGTGCATAAGACAAATGGGAGTTCCTTAAAAAAAAATTGAGTATTATCCCTGAGATGAAAGATGCTTTGACAACTGCAAAACTATGGCCCCTTAGTTTGATCGATCTCAGCCCTTACAGAGGTGCCCTTAATATGTTATACTTGAAAATTTACTTGAGCCTCTACTTAATTTATTTACAGTTGAAGAAATTACCCCTCACTATATATATATATATATATACACATTATATATACACTATATGTTATATATACACTATATATGTATATTATATATACACTATATATATATACACATTAAAAAAAAGTGGCACTTCAGAATTTCCCATTTTTAAAAGGTATCAAGTAATATACTCTTTAATTATCCTCAAAGCTAACCAAACTCTCCTGTAAAAAGTCTGGAAGATAGATTTTATTTTGATTAGCCAGATGCTACTGCTAAGAGAGGATTCTATTACCTTTTTGGCAACCTGGTCCACAACGCAAAGTATCAGGGAAAGCATTTTGACACTTATGATAATACCAGAATGATCAGGGCCACATTTTTGCTTAAAATATTGGAACATTTAAATACTAATCACAGCAGGGTAATAAACAAATTTTTAAGAATACAAGCTATAAAAGAAGCAAGATTTGATGTAACTCTTAAAGTATAATTGAAAACAAAACTGACCCACCTAAGAGCTAAATTAATTTTGCTTAAGTCATTATCAAAAATTAAGTTACCTCAACAAATACTATGGTAGAATACTGAACCTACCCTGTCATAAGGGTACTCACCTACCTTTATTGCAAGTACTTGTTTAAATGTCTGCTTGTAATAAATATAGACGCTCACTGTTACTAGGTACTTACAATGTGGATTCCCTACATAACAGTGATCAGTACTATCAGTAATACAGCCTTCAATAAGTTTAGTATTTTAATTCCTTAACCCTCATAAGAACATTAAGAGGCAGAAAGCCATCATCCCATTTTACAGATGAGCAGGTACATAGGAGTTAAATAACATGGTGTGGTCCCACAGGGAGAAGCAGCTGACCTGAGACTTAAACCTCAGGCCACCTGGCTCAGTGTCCGAGCTCTTCATTGCTCCATTAGCCTGCCTCTCAGACTAACATTTCGTCTGCCTTCTTCACTGACCTCACTCACTGATGGATGAATAGGAGAGAGAGGTTGGGCAGAGACGTGACAAATAATAATGGCCATTTCCAGTGACTACAGGATGGTTCGTCGGCACCTCTCTCCTTTTTCTTTCCAACATTTCCTAGGTCTTCCAGATTGGTTTATATTAATACAGTACTGTAATGACAACCTAAAATTACATGCCCCAAATATAGTATTTCTCCACTTTGCTTCTTCTGAGTGTCTTTTAAAAACAGTGAGCCCCTCTTTACACATCACCTTCTCTGGATCTTCACCCAAGTGATATGAAACCTGTCCCCACCCTGCCCACCCTGGGACTCTGTATTATATCAAGAATTTTCAAATGTTCTCCTAGAGTTTCTTTCTGTTTTCTTTCCTCCTAGAATTTTTAAATGCTGGTAACCCTATGCTGATACGTGTTTAACTTCAGGACAGTATTTAAAAAATTAAGTTGGGGGGCGCCTGGGTGGCTTAGTCGGTTAAGCGTCCGACTTTCACTTAGGTCATGATCTCGCGGTTCGTGGGTTCGAGCCCCGCGTCGGGCTCTGTGCTGACTGCCAGCTCAGAGCCTGGAGCCTGTTTCAGTCTGTGACTCCCTCTCTCTCTGACCCTCCCCTGCTCACGCTGTCTCTCTCTCTCTCTCTGCTAGAAATAAATAAAACACTTAAAAAAAATTAAGTTGGTAGGAAAGTAAAAATAATGCTAAGTAGTTCTGAGCCGTTGTTTCCCAAATCATTGACTTTTATTGGTATTTATAATACCAATACCAGGAAGAAAATTAAAAACAAAAATTGATTTTTAAATGCTAATACAATAAACTGGTAAGATGTATAATCTTCACCTCAAGGTTATTCAACAGAACTCTCTGTGATATTGAAAATGTTCTGGGTGGGGGGGGGCAGGGCTGGGTAGCTCAGTCGTTAAGCATCCAACTGTTGATCTCAGCTCAGATCCTGATCTCAGGGTTGTGAGTTCAAGCCCTGCGCTGGCCTCCACAATAGGTGTAGGGCTTACTTAAAATTAAAAAAAATTTTAATTAAAAAAAAATATTCTGTACCTGCTTGCCCAACACGGTTAGTCACTAGCCCCATGTGGCTAGCGAGTGCTTGAACTGCGTCTAGTTTATTTAAGGAACTGAATTTTTAATCTTCTGTAGTTTTTATTAATTTAAATTTAAATGCCCACATGAGGCTAGTGGCTTTCCTACTGAATAACACGGCACAGCTTTACGTTAAATGCTCTGTAATTCACCTTTACACATCAGAAAAAACACTCTGATATAGGTTAGCCAATTTCCCTGAGCGCTAACATTCTGGAATCCGACGGACAAACACAGAACCACAGACCCAGCATCTAATTACTAAATATCAAGTATTGCCAAACCTACAAAATCTCATTTATTTTAACTAAACACTTCCCTTTGCAGACTCAGCCATGCAATAAAAGCGTACTTCGTTTTTGTCCCCTGAACAACAGGAGGAGAGAAAAGTGGAAGGCGTTGCAGAAAGAAACGAGTCAGGAGTAAAAAAGACTGGCGAAAAGGGGACACTGGTTAGTTTCATACAATAGCAAACCAGGCAATTATTCAAAACTAAGGTCCTAAAAAATGGCATGCTAAAATATTTAAAATACACTCTGAAGAAAAAAGGACGTTTTAAAACTGAGACATTTATGCTCCACTAAATAGTGATTACACACATGTCCGTAAGGGTTTGTTTTCTGTAATTATACTTGCATCAGAAAAAATCAGTTAAAATGAAAACCATTTCTACATGTAACCAATTCTTAGAGGAAAGCTGTAATTACTTTCATTTACACACATATTGAAAATAAATGTTTTAATTTTTGTAAGAGAATCTGGTGCCAAAAATCTACTTTTTATACACATATCACAGAAATTGTTTTAAATGAAGCTTCAATAATGAAAGTATAAAGTAAATCGTGACTAATCTCAATGCAATTATTTATTTGAAACTTCTCAGTGATGTATAGAGGTAAACGGGAAGAACCCAATCATGGTTACCCCAACAGTATTAAATAAACCAAAGCTGTAAAAATCCTTTTCCTTTCTTCTATTGTGAATATTAAAAAGCAGTGAAAAACAACAGCTCAATAGTTTGACTATGTTAACAGCAAGCAGGCAAACCAAATTAGCACTGCGTGTACCCTCAACCCCACCCCAGCTACCTCATTTATTTGGAACATGGAGGAGAGAGAGATCCGAGTATTAAAAAAGATCCATGGAACACGCCAGCCGAGAGGAGCTGGGAATGACAGAGCCATGTTGTGTAGGGATTAAAAAATAAGTCAAAGTATTCTACTAATGGCAAGGATCCTCTTTTAAATAAAAAATTAATAATCTTTCTCCAAAAAACCATTTTTTTTTTTTAGAAAAGAGGAAATTTAAAAATGGAAAAGCAACAACAGAACAAGGCAACAGTGCTACCTGTATGTCCTTCTTTCCAATTTTATAGCACTGATCTCTCTTTTGGTTAATTTTCTTGGCCAATAGCTCCAAAAAAATAAAATTATTAAAACGGATGAAGGTTGATGCTTTGTTCCCTGCCTTTAATGTGTGATGAATTCTGGCTTACCCTTGCCACAGACCCAGAGCATCATATGAAATTAGTACCCATGCATTCTAAATATATGAGGAGTATTATTTACCTACGGCACATGGATAGCTCAGTCAGTTAAGTGTAGGATCAGGGCATGGTCTCAGGGTTGTGATGTGGAGCCTCTGTGCTGGGCATGGAGCCTGCTTGGGATTCTCTCTCCTCCTTTCTGCACCCCCACCTACCCACCCCCGAATACAAATAAATTTTAAAATATATATGAAAAAAATGAAAGTTCATTCTCACAAAACGTTTTCCACCATACACAACCATACTGTTTTTCCTGTTTGATGACGTAATATGGGAATTCTATTTACAGATTTCCAAATACTACACATCCTGGCATTCCCACAGTGAATTATGATAATATAGATCAGTTGATTATGATATATAGATCTTTTACTGTGCTGTGGAATCCACTGGCTAATATTTTATTTAGACTTTCTCCACCAATACTTTTTTAAAATTTATTTCTGAGAGAGAGAGAAACAGCGTGAGAAGGGGAGGGTCAGAGAGAGAGAAAGATACAGAATCTGAAACAGGTTCCAGGC